AATACTGCCTCAGCTGAACGCTCAAGTGCGTGCGTAGAGGAGTACACGCGAGGAAAAGCTGACTTCGAACAATTTTAAAACTTATGGAGTACATATAAGATTTTCCCACCATGCAACTGATTGACTGCAGCTAAGCAGACTATGTTAGATCAAGATGATTTAAATCAAACATTTTGATTCTAGGGAGGTAAAATAATCTACTGGTATATACCGTCAGCGACAGACCGAAAAACTAACGTCTCGCGAGGACATTCGCGTAGTTCTCGCGCGTCTTTCGCGATCTGTTGCAATTGATGCAAACGGGGTTAACTGTTAATGAATAAAAAGAAGAGAAGAATCTTTAAAAACATCTCAGGAAGAAATTGCTTGCTCTCAATTTCCCCTCAGAAATGAATACTATATAGTCAGGGAATTGACAAAGATTTAGATAAGGATGGGTCGCGACTTAAAAGGCACCAAAGTTGCTGCCACGTGATAAATAATCGTTTACCTTAATTTATATATATAGTTTTTGACGAACAAACGGGGCGAGATAGATCTGTACGGTGAACTTTTACCCTGCTGGGATATACATAACAAGCAAATCAATTTGGTTGGTGAAAGTTTTTCAATCGATTTAAACTGCACACACAACTGACAATTAACGCCTAAGAATTTCTTGACTATTCTGTGTTTACACCTGATACAATAAGAAAAATATCCGACAAACTGATCTGCATGGCAATGAGAAGAGAGAAGAGAAAGAAATGATATGAAGAACAGACAGTGGTGTACATTTACCCAGCACATTTTCGGTTTCCACAAAAAAATCTTCTACGTTGGCTAAAAAAGTACTGTTTTTCTTTGTTAAGCAGATTACCAGTTTGTAAAGTTTGAGAAAAATATACAGCACAAGCTTAAGGGTTCGGAAAACAAGTAAAATGACGACAAAGCTAATGTAGATATATTTCACACGGCACACCAACACTTATGATGGACGCTTATTCGAGTTTTTATATTTTTATACGTGACACAGTTGGTTTGGTAATTATAGCTAGTTTATGAAGAATGCTTACGTAGGGATATTAATCCGAAGGTGTGCTTATTGTTATTATCTATGTAGAATATATTTTCATCATCTCGTGAGAGCTGTTCATTGTTGCCCAGCAAATACTGGGAAAAACTATCTAAGACGGCATTTCACGCGAAATTGATGAAATTTACTGATCTTCACACCAGATTACCACATTATTGTTATTCTGTCTTCACTGATAAATATACTAAATTAAGAATTGAATTAAGCACTGTTTTCGTTTTAAGCTCAACAGATGTTCTCAGAGCATTTGGCGCAGGGCATAATCTGCGCTTTCTTAGCGATTGCAGGTTCCAACTCCGTATTATCTATTTGTAGCGTTATTTTCCAAGGTATTGCTCAATGCTTAAAACAAAATGAAGCTTAATTTATCTCTTCAGAGAGTGATTGGGGACGGAAACATAATAATATGATTAATTTACCTTTTATCGTGTTTGGAAAGATAAAAAGCCTTGTTATTCATTCATGAATGCATCCGAAATGCGTTCATTTGTGGGCAGTTGAGTTCGGAGGAGAGCTGACCACTATAATACATCGCTATACATCGTTCAATAATTTAACTACGCCGACGGATTTAGATTTACCGTCCGCATGAATTGGCAGAAATAGACCAGTTGTCTCGCATTTTCATCTTGTCTCTTAGCCAAGACAGACAACCATGGCAACCACTTTTCTCTTTGAGCACACATGCGTTGTTAAGAAGACACGAACTACGTCATCTCTTGCGCAACGTCTCGTCTTTGAACCCGCGAGGCAAAGCATTTCGCCACCCAAGGACCGATTAAGGACCATCGATTTTTTAAAAATTTCTCTGGCTCTTTGTGCTGCTGATCTCATGTTCCACTCTGCGCGCGCTATTTAACTTTGAGGAGTAATCTGGGTCTTATCCGTCAAACTGGCGCTGTTTTAGTTCAAAAACTCACCAGTTATTTTGATTTTGTTCTGCGCAACAAACCCAGGTTAATTCACATACGAATTATTCACGAAGCAATTGAGAAAGATATAGGCTTTGTTTAATTCTGACAGCTGATCACGACTATTTGTATTATTCGGACCAATAAGCGCGCGCGAGATCTTTCTCCACTACACAGTGTAATTGACAAGGGTAGATTTGTATAATAAATGCATACGTTTAAGACAACTTTCAATGTTTTTTTTTCTAACCTTGGACAAATTGTGGTTCATTTTCGGCGGGATTTAAGTAAAACGTCATTCGTGTATGTATAGATATATCTTTTTTTTTTAGATAATTCACAATAGCCTTCGGTCATATCACCATGCACTTTACCTGACGAAAACAAACCTTTCTCAAGAGATAATGGAAGCTAAAAATATCTATGTTCGACTTAGTTGTATTTTAATTTTCAAAGGAAGTTCTGATTCTTAAGGACCAAGAGAAATTTTCGTTGACACAAAGTCTACTAAGTAAGGAGAGAGCGAAGAGCGACGTAAATGTGCCGCTTGAAGAAGTACGACATCAGCGCTCTACTTTTTCCCTCGCGAATTTGACCACGCAAAGTATGACCAATTTTAAATTTATGAGCGAACTCGCAACTCGTCGAAAATCATACCTTAACTGCATTTACTTGGAAGACATATTTTAATTTACTTTTAACCTCAATGTAATGGCTACAAACTGGGGTAAAGTGAAGTATATTGCGCGAGTTAGACCCGACTCAGATGATGGCATAATTGATGACTGTAATGACTCGCTGGACGAATGTGAGGTGCGAGTTAAAATCAACGACGTCTTGGGAGAAACCGACCAGGACGACGGATTTAAAACAAGATCAAGACGGTGTCAACCGCATTTGAAGCGGATTCAGTATGACAGTTTATGTCTGTCTGTTCCACAAGACATAGGAAGAGGGAATGATATTCCTTACGAACAGGTGAAATCAGGCCAAGCTGACAAAACTGCTTTGAGGAAAAGAAGTCACAGTGCAAATTCGCTCTCAGTTTTATATGGCTCAGAGATTAATGGGGATATTCCGTTGCGGTCGCAATCGCTGCTCAAAATTGTAAACCGGCGGGTTCTTGTGAAGGATTTGTTTGCAAAAGAAGAAGAAGTCGATACTTACGATATGAAGGTAAGACACAGTAAATTGTATCCCTCAAAGTATCATGCGAAATATACATTAGTCCTATCGTTTAAGTTTATGCAAATATCTCAATCTCTTGTGATAGTCAAAGACGGTTGTATTCGCTTTGGGGGAACAATTGCATAATCGCTTATCTCTGTTATTTCTCTCAAAGAAGGTCCGTTTTGCCTCGCCTCGATTTGCGCTGCAAGCAAACTAATTTCTCAGTTTAGTTTAGATATTCTAAATGATTCAATTCCTGCACGGGTCCATGGTTTGACCATAATAGTTCACACTTTAACGTTACTGATAAAGATTAATAATATATATTGCAACAAGGGAAATTAATGTTTACCTCTGAACAAAATTGAAGAATGTTATCTGGATGACAATTGTACGCATGAAATTTATACCATCTGTTTGTATATCCCGGACATAACCAAGTTGGCAAGCAAGTTACTGTACAGAGGAGGTAAACAAGAAGCTGGCTTGAATAATTTTCGTCATCCGTTTGCAGTTTTGCATCGGTGAAAACAATTGGAAAAATTCTGGGGAAAAAGGAACAAAAATTGTTATCTTTCATAACGTATGACTCATATGAAATAATGTTGTCAAAAGTATTTTTTAAAAAAATATAAAACATATGCGAAAATGTTGCAAATACCCCACAATATGGCAAGCTCATTTGTACAAATCCCAGTGGTGGGACTTCAGAAAGACTGCGAATACCCGGTCCATAGGATAAGGATAAGGCCAAAATTTGACTCGATAAACCTGACCGATAACAATTATTTCGTTTTCTGTGCTTTTCAACATAGTGATGGCGTAGCTAAAGGGAGTTACAGCAGTTAGTTGGGGAAGAAAAAATTGACTCACTCGGACAGCAGTCAGTTAATGGGTAGTAAACGCTTTTTTGGTGGTAATTCCGCTGACCAAGGTATTTCATGAGAGGGGCGACGTTTGCATTATCATTGTAAACAAAATGGCTGCCAAAGCAATGAACTGATCTTTCGTGTTTGGAGTCGAACAACTGCTCCCAAATTAAAGACTATTTCGTATGAAACAAAGGTGGGTGTCTCATTCTATCCTTCGATAGCTGCAATTAATGCAGGCGTATTTTGGCGAGCTAGCGCATTTTGATCAAATGAGCGCCATCTTGTTTTCAAATTCGGAAGAGGCTTGGGGAGAGACGAGAAAACGTCCTGGGGAGTGGAGTAAGGGGGAGCAGAAGGGGAAGGCCTCGAACTTCTTTTTCAGGCTAATATTTGTATTTTAGAGCATAACATTTCCAAGGCGACGATCAGCTCATAGTTCTCCGACAGAAACGCTATGTTAGACCCTCACAAGTTAAGGAAGGACCTTTTGAAAATGTCGGACGCGCCCACAATAGGCTTCCGATCAAATTCACGAGTCAAGCGCATGGAATCCTCAATGATAATAACACAAACAGGTGTTCAGCGAATTGCAATTTGATAGGCGTACTAAGGCATGATAATAATTATAATCATCAAACATTTTGGCTCGCGCGCGATTGGTCTAAACGTGTCATGTGACTTAATATGCCCCGGCTAGAACTGCTGAATATCCGAGTGATATTTCCCAGTTTTCAGAACTGCGCGTGTTGCGGAAAAATATTTGAAGGATAATAAACAAAATTGCCTTCATTCCGCCCAACAAAAATATGCGCTGTCTGTAAATACGTGAAATAATCTTGGTCAATATTTAGCCATTTTGACTTCACACTCGGTCAATAACTTATACATGTCTCTCTCCCCCCGCCCCCCACATACCTCCCNTGTGGTTAAGTTTTAGCGAACGGGGATTTTTCAGTAACTATGGAGCGGATTTTATTGAGACGAGAAATTAAACCAAGTAACCATCACGTGCGTTCGATGAGGTTATACAGTTCTACATGGCTAAGCAAAAGCTTTCTTGAAACACAAAGTATATGCACCGTATGGCCAGACAAAATACTGCCTCAGCTGAACGCTCAAGTGCGTGCGTAGAGGAGTACACGCGAGGAAAAGCTGACTTCGAACAATTTTAAAACTTATGGAGTACATATAAGATTTTCCCACCATGCAACTGATTGACTGCAGCTAAGCAGACTATGTTAGATCAAGATGATTTAAATCAAACATTTTGATTCTAGGGAGGTAAAATAATCTACTGGTATATACCGTCAGCGACAGACCGAAAAACTAACGTCTCGCGAGGACATTCGCGTAGTTCTCGCGCGTCTTTCGCGATCTGTTGCAATTGATGCAAACGGGGTTAACTGTTAATGAATAAAAAGAAGAGAAGAATCTTTAAAAACATCTCAGGAAGAAATTGCTTGCTCTCAATTTCCCCTCAGAAATGAATACTATATAGTCAGGGAATTGACAAAGATTTAGATAAGGATGGGTCGCGACTTAAAAGGCACCAAAGTTGCTGCCACGTGATAAATAATCGTTTACCTTAATTTATATATATAGTTTTTGACGAACAAACGGGGCGAGATAGATCTGTACGGTGAACTTTTACCCTGCTGGGATATACATAACAAGCAAATCAATTTGGTTGGTGAAAGTTTTTCAATCGATTTAAACTGCACACACAACTGACAATTAACGCCTAAGAATTTCTTGACTATTCTGTGTTTACACCTGATACAATAAGAAAAATATCCGACAAACTGATCTGCATGGCAATGAGAAGAGAGAAGAGAAAGAAATGATATGAAGAACAGACAGTGGTGTACATTTACCCAGCACATTTTCGGTTTCCACAAAAAAATCTTCTACGTTGGCTAAAAAAGTACTGTTTTTCTTTGTTAAGCAGATTACCAGTTTGTAAAGTTTGAGAAAAATATACAGCACAAGCTTAAGGGTTCGGAAAACAAGTAAAATGACGACAAAGCTAATGTAGATATATTTCACACGGCACACCAACACTTATGATGGACGCTTATTCGAGTTTTTATATTTTTATACGTGACACAGTTGGTTTGGTAATTATAGCTAGTTTATGAAGAATGCTTACGTAGGGATATTAATCCGAAGGTGTGCTTATTGTTATTATCTATGTAGAATATATTTTCATCATCTCGTGAGAGCTGTTCATTGTTGCCCAGCAAATACTGGGAAAAACTATCTAAGACGGCATTTCACGCGAAATTGATGAAATTTACTGATCTTCACACCAGATTACCACATTATTGTTATTCTGTCTTCACTGATAAATATACTAAATTAAGAATTGAATTAAGCACTGTTTTCGTTTTAAGCTCAACAGATGTTCTCAGAGCATTTGGCGCAGGGCATAATCTGCGCTTTCTTAGCGATTGCAGGTTCCAACTCCGTATTATCTATTTGTAGCGTTATTTTCCAAGGTATTGCTCAATGCTTAAAACAAAATGAAGCTTAATTTATCTCTTCAGAGAGTGATTGGGGACGGAAACATAATAATATGATTAATTTACCTTTTATCGTGTTTGGAAAGATAAAAAGTCTTGTTATTCATTTATGAATGCATCCGAAATGCGTTCATTTGTGGACAGTTGAGTTCGGAGGAGAGCTGACCACTATAATACATCGCTATACATCGTCCAATAATTTAACTACGCCGACGGATTTAGATTTACCGTCCGTATGAATTGGCAGAAATAGACCAGTTGTCTCGCATTTTCATCTTGTCTCTTAGCCAAGACAGACAACCATGGCAACCACTTTTCTCTTTGAGCACACATGCGTTGTTAAGAAGACACGAACTACGTCATCTCTTGCGCAACGTCTCGTCTTTGAACCCGCGAGGCAAAGCATTTCGCCACCCAAGGACCGATTAAGGACCATCGATTTTTTAAAAATTTCTCTGGCTCTTTGTGCTGCTGATCTCATGTTCCACTCTGCGCGCGCTGTTTAACTTTGAGGAGTAATCTGGGTCTTATCCGTCAAACTGGCGCTGTTTTAGTTCAAAAACTCACCAGTTATTTTGATTTTGTTCTGCGCAACAAACCCAGGTTAATTCACATACGAATTATTCACGAAGCAATTGAGAAAGATATAGGCTTTGTTTAATTCTGACAGCTGATCACGACTATTTGTATTATTCGGACCAATAAGCGCGCGCGAGATCTTTCTCCACTACACAGTGTAATTGACAAGGGTAGATTTGTATAATAAATGCATACGTTTAAGACAACTTTCAATGTTTTTTTTTCTAACCTTGGACAAATTGTGGTTCATTTTCGGCGGGATTTAAGTAAAACGTCATTCGTGTATGTATAGATATATCTTTTTTTTTTAGATAATTCACAATAGCCTTCGGTCATATCACCATGCACTTTACCTGACGAAAACAAACCTTTCTCAAGAGATAATGGAAGCTAAAAATATCTATGTTCGACTTAGTTGTATTTTAATTTTCAAAGGAAGTTCTGATTCTTAAGGACCAAGAGAAATTTTCGTTGACACAAAGTCTACTAAGTAAGGAGAGAGCGAAGAGCGACGTAAATGTGCCGCTTGAAGAAGTACGACATCAGCGCTCTACTTTTTCCCTCGCGAATTTGACCACGCAAAGTATGACCAATTTTAAATTTATGAGCGAACTCGCAACTCGTCGAAAATCATACCTTAACTGCATTTACTTGGAAGACATATTTTAATTTACTTTTAACCTCAATGTAATGGCTACAAACTGGGGTAAAGTGAAGTATATTGCGCGAGTTAGACCCGACTCAGATGATGGCATAATTGATGACTGTAATGACTCGCTGGACGAATGTGAGGTGCGAGTTAAAATCAACGACGTCTTGGGAGAAACCGACCAGGACGACGGATTTAAAACAAGATCAAGACGGTGTCAACCGCATTTGAAGCGGATTCAGTATGACAGTTTATGTCTGTCTGTTCCACAAGACATAGGAAGAGGGAATGATATTCCTTACGAACAGGTGAAATCAGGCCAAGCTGACAAAACTGCTTTGAGGAAAAGAAGTCACAGTGCAAATTCGCTCTCAGTTTTATATGGCTCAGAGATTAATGGGGATATTCCGTTGCGGTCGCAATCGCTGCTCAAAATTGTAAACCGGCGGGTTCTTGTGAAGGATTTGTTTGCAAAAGAAGAAGAAGTCGATACTTACGATATGAAGGTAAGACACAGTAAATTGTATCCCTCAAAGTATCATGCGAAATATACATTAGTCCTATCGTTTAAGTTTATGCAAATATCTCAATCTCTTGTGATAGTCAAAGACGGTTGTATTCGCTTTGGGGGAACAATTGCATAATCGCTTATCTCTGTTATTTCTCTCAAAGAAGGTCCGTTTTGCCTCGCCTCGATTTGCGCTGCAAGCAAACTAATTTCTCAGTTTAGTTTAGATATTCTAAATGATTCAATTCCTGCACGGGTCCATGGTTTGACCATAATAGTTCACACTTTAACGTTACTGATAAAGATTAATAATATATATTGCAACAAGGGAAATTAATGTTTACCTCTGAACAAAATTGAAGAATGTTATCTGGATGACAATTGTACGCATGAAATTTATACCATCTGTTTGTATATCCCGGACATAACCAAGTTGGCAAGCAAGTTACTGTACAGAGGAGGTAAACAAGAAGCTGGCTTGAATAATTTTCGTCATCCGTTTGCAGTTTTGCATCGGTGAAAACAATTGGAAAAATTCTGGGGAAAAAGGAACAAAAATTGTTATCTTTCATAACGTATGACTCATATGAAATAATGTTGTCAAATAGATCAGTTTTAAAGAAGAATGTAACTTTCATAATTATCCTAGTGCGACACGAAAAATCTGGATAACGAATCAGAGCGGAATATTTCAATAGATGAGTTGCTCGAAATCGAGGAATGTCAAATAAATTGAGTGATATTATTTTTCGCATGGAAGTTTTTGAATCTCGCTTTACTCAAGTGAAAAATATGTGCAAAGATTTCTCGGGCTTGTAAGAAGTAAACGTTTAATAACCAAAAATCAGGTATCCCGAGAGATTTCCAAAACCAAACTTTTAGAGCTGGCCTCAGAATTCAAGGAGTAATTTGTTTGTTTCCTTTTGAATTATTTATTCAGATTGAATATGCTCTTCTGTATATATGCTGTTGTTATAACAGCCAATCAATTTTTTTCCATCTCTTATATTTGCCGACTACTTATTGCACTCTGAATATTGTGAATCCGGTATGGTTTCATTTTTAAAATCACTTCCAATTTTTTGTGCCGCAAAAATCACATCTCATTAATTGTAAAATTGTCGTGATTGGCTTCTGAGGTGAAAGGTATTAGACCTTGTTCACAAAAAATCAATTAAGAGCACATAAAAGCTGCCGGACGTGAGTAAATAGACAAAATTACCTTGTGCATCTGCAATGTTGCTAATTATATAATCGGTCTACAGTCACGGACTTGAAAGTGTTGCTTGTGTTTCTTTCTATAATAACAATATATAGAGAATAATACGTGGGGCGCGTAGATATGAAGTGTTCAACTCGATATCTTACGAGTGAGCGCAGCGAACGAGTGAGATATAAAGTTGAACAAGAGAAGAGATATTCCATATCTACAAGCAACCATGTATTATTTTGTTTATTATATAAACTTACTAATTAGGACTTTTTTGACGATTTTCTGAAGATTTTCGAACGCTTTCCAAAGATTTCCGAAGATTCTTCTAAAGTTGTCCGAAAACTAGGCTGACGTTTCCGAACATTTTCCGAAGATTTCCGAGGAAAATCCGAAGACGTCATGTTTTCGTGTGAAAGCTCACCTGGTATTTCACCGGTGTTTCTATAATAAAATCGCGTATCGTAATCAGGTGTAACGTTTCTGACTGGAATAATGGCGTCGTCAATTCGCTGTTCATTTCCCCCGGGTATAAGTGAGGTATTTTTTAAAAAAATATAAAACATATGCGAAAATGTTGCAAATACCCCACAATATGGCAAGCTCATTTGTACAAATCCCAGTGGTGGGACTTCAGAAAGACTGCGAATACCCGGTCCATAGGATAAGGATAAGGCCAAAATTTGACTCGATAAACCTGACCGATAACAATTATTTCGTTTTCTGTGCTTTTCAACATAGTGATGGCGTAGCTAAAGGGAGTTATAGCAGTTAGTTGGGGAAGAAAAAATTGACTCACTCGGACAGCAGTCAGTTAATGGGTAGTAAACGCTTTTTTGGTGGTAATTCCGCTGACCAAGGTATTTCATGAGAGGGGCGACGTTTGCATTATCATTGTAAACAAAATGGCTGCCAAAGCAATGAACTGATCTTTCGTGTTTGGAGTCGAACAACTGCTCCCAAATTAAAGACTATTTCGTATGAAACAAAGGTGGGTGTCTCATTCTATCCTTCGATAGCTGCAATTAATGCAGGCGTATTTTGGCGAGCTAGTGCATTTTGATCAAATGAGCGCCATCTTGTTTTCAAATTCGGAAGAGGCTTGGGGAGAGACGAGAAAACGTCCTGGGGAGTGGAGTAAGGGGGAGCAGAAGGGGAAGGCCTCGAACTTCTTTTTCAGGCTAATATTTGTATTTTAGAGCATAACATTTCCAAGGCGACGATCAGCTCATAGTTCTCCGACAGAAACGCTATGTTAGACCCTCACAAGTTAAGGAAGGACCTTTTGAAAATGTCGGACGCGCCCACAATAGGCTTCCGATCAAATTCACGAGTCAAGCGCATGGAATCCTCAATGATAATAACACAAACAGGTGTTCAGCGAATTGCAATTTGATAGGCGTACTAAGGCATGATAATAATTATAATCATCAAACATTTTGGCTCGCGCGCGATTGGTCTAAACGTGTCATGTGACTTAATATGCCCCGGCTAGAACTGCTGAATATCCGAGTGATATTTCCCAGTTTTCAGAACTGCGCGTGTTGCGGAAAAATATTTGAAGGATAATAAACAAAATTGCCTTCATTCCGCCCAACAAAAATATGCGCTGTCTGTAAATACGTGAAATAATCTTGGTCAATATTTAGCCATTTTGACTTCACACTCGGTCAATAACTTATACATGTCTCTCTCCCCCCGCCCCCCACATACCTCCCGCCAAAAAATTCTTGTATCACAAACATGTCAAGTTGACAAGTGTCACTGAGCATCGATTCTATGTGAGAGCCTAAAAATACGAATTACCCTCGGTCTTTTAGTCAGAGGTTGATCAAATGGGAGGTGGCCAGTGTTTGCCTTCTTGCCAAGGTTTCACCACAGTTTCAATGTCAAATTCAAATTATTTTGATACAGATCATCGGAATGGCTTGACAGCAAGCTCTTTCAGTTGGCTTACTTTGCTTTCAGCCAATAAGTTTTCATCAAAGCAAATATGATCCAATTTAAATGTAAGTTACCTCGAGTCTGCGGTTTTTATTTTAGTAGTGATCAATGTATCTGATGTTCTGATTTTCAAGAGAACGAACTAAAAGTTTTATAGTTTTCTTTACCCGGTCCATTTCCGTGGTTTTTTGGTCAAAAACAGGGAGCAGATTAATTCCAGTTTCGGTTTTGTTTTGGAACGAAAGGACTGACAAGGTTTATATTTCTTGCGTGGACAAATTATTCTTTATCTGCAAAATATTAGGTTTAAATAATTAAAATTTATCAGCAGATGTTCGGACTCTCTTGCTGTTTAAACCAAAGGAAAAGAAATGCTAAAAAATCGAATTCCTCGTCTGGGCTCATGATGCTCTGGCTAGAATTTTTCTCAAGTCATGAAATGTCAACGCTGTATTCCGGCGAGGTGCAAGGTAATCTAATTTTTCCAAGAAATTACATTGTAATTTTCATCGGTAACGTGGTATATCTTTTCATCTGAGACACTTTGAATTGAAAAATCACGAACCAAGACAACTATCCTTTTTTCACACCATGTACCTCGCGTTGGTCAGTATTTTTGCGTTTTGTCTGTTAACATGTTTCCTCTAAAGCGCTTTGTTTCGTTGGACAAACTGTTAGGCAGTCTCAATACAATCGACTGTATACACTGTCGGGTGACCCGGGCCTGTTTTCTACCAGTATACTGAGAATAATAATATGTCTTAATAAGAGGTTTCGCTGCCTTTCGATTTTTGAGACTTGCCGAGCTTTCATAACTGATTCAGGCTTGCGTTCCAAAATGATGTTCAAATTTAACTTGACGTTGCTTTAGCTAGCTAAGTATCAATTTTCTAATTATCTTTGTTTCTGATACACTCTCAACAATGGACTAATCCTTGGTACACTTGGGCACTACTGGCAAATTACATATAAAAAAGTGACTGATCCGGTGCATTTCCGTTTTAATACTCGTGTATGGAAAAACATTAAAGTTGGATCCGACGGTGAGGATGTCGATGGTTGATTTGTGAAAAAATAAAAAAGATGAAAAAAGATGACGACGAAAGTGCTTGAGACAAGATCATCAGTAGCCTCTTGCTCGAGAGTGATACTTTATGTGTTAGATTTTTGGAAGAGATGTAAATTTCAGTTCTACTTACTCATATATTTCAAAGTGTACAGGGCTAGTACTTGGCTTTCAAGGTATATATCATGCATCAGTTTTGATGATCCACGTAGTTTTGCCTGGCTGGACGGCCACCGCTTGGCGACAGGGCTAAAATAGCGATCAGTTTGGCTTCGGCTCGCACTCAAGTTGCGGTCGTATCAATCAAAAGAGATTTTATCTTTGCCCGGAGAAGGATTTCCACTTTTGCTAACACAGAAGTTCGAAATGCTATTCTCTTTACTGGTCTTGCTGATTTCGTGGAAATTAATTTTGAGAATTCAACGCATCATACCTTAGTTGAGGAACGTCGTTGGCTTCTCCTCTCAGCACTTTTGACTCTACGTAAATCGTTTCTTCTAGAGGGTGTCAACGGATAAACCGTTACCCGTAAAACGGACCAAAAGCCGTAAAAAATATTAACCGTAAAGAAAATTTCCTAAAAAAGTGAAGGTCTCTAGCCAAGACTTTTTTATGTTTTGTCTTGTGGCTTGAAAGCTATATTAGCGAGTCGCACACTCTTAAAAGGACGGGAGAACGGGAGTTGGCTACTTGATCGAGGAGACGGCTGAAATTCAGGTTAGGATCTCAACTCTCGATCGAAGGTCCGGTGCACTAACTGTCCATTTGGTCACTGTTCAGATCTCTCGCGATGAAGCCTAGCTTTATCAGTAATTGAAGGAATTATCTTCTTTTTAGTCAGGTGATTATGGCGACAGTGAGAGGGAAACAATCCACACTTTATCCAGAAAAGGAAACACGCAGGAGATCAGAGTACTTCTTCAACAGAATGAAGGTTAAATTACAGCTTGATGCGCACAATATTGCCTCGTTGTGTAGCTCTTTTACTGACTTGTAGCTTTTATACTACGTTTTTGTCACCTGGAAAAGAGGGGGGAATTTACTCTCAACAAAGCTTTATATGGGGGTGCCCTAAACCCATGTCCAAGCCCAAACCCAAACCCAAATATACCATTTTGACAGAAAAGCTAACCCTTCCATAGTAAGGGCACTCCTTTCATACACTTGCAGTAGAAACCCTGCAACTCTTTTCTAAAACCCTGCGAGGTAGACGTTAATAGGAGACCTTAAGTATCAGTTTTCCCAACTCTTTTCTACCACCTGTTTGCAAAATCTCCATCTTTTCATAATACTTCCAATCTGAAAAAGGTACTCTCTTGGAGAGGAACTTCCTCCAGGGGAACGTAACCCACAGTTGTTATCTAAAACGTTTAAGATTGGTTTCAGTCGACCACACGTGCCTGGAAAGACGGTGAGAAAGAGCATTTTCCTATTCGTAGATTCAAAAGATTTGTTTTTTCGTTTAGTTTTAACAATTTACAGAGTTTAACAGACTTTTATTTCTCTGCTTCCTCAGACATCGACAAAAGAGACAGTTATGGCAAAACCGCGCTTCACTGTGCCGTATCAGCAGGCCAGGTCAATACCGTGAAATATCTCCTCCACAACCATGCAAACCCTAACCTTAAAGACCACAGAGAGGAGGCACCACTGCACGCCGCGGTGCGGACTGGAAACATTGAAGTGGTCGAGGTAGGGTTTAAATAACTTAAATTACATTTCTGAGAATGCTCGGTCAGATTAGAAACAATGTCTGAAGATGAACTAAGTGATCGAAACTTTAAGGTGATTCCTTAGTATTGCATTGTGCATCCCTACTGCGCACGATTTTCGCGTCATTA